TTTTTTTTTTTTTTTTTTTTTTTTTGCTAAGAACTGACTTTGCTTCGTCCTACAAATGCCCAAAAGGTAACTAAAAACAGAACAAAGCCAAAGTTTATTAGCCCTCAATGTATCTAATTCAACTTCAAGACACAGGACACAAGAACTAATTTCCAAGATTCACAGGTACATACAATTACCAGCCTTTACAATTCCAGACCCCTTCCCCTTAGAGCAAGGCTGGAGTCTGCAGCCACTGCCTTGAACTAGTAGTCACTGGGTCCCTGGAAAAAGCAAAGACTCACTTCGCTGAAGCCACCACAAGCAGAGAGTATCATTTCATGGGAACTGAACCAACTTACTCCCATGAGGACTGCTCTGGAGCTACAGAACGAGGACCTGGTAATGACGGACCAGACCTGGCCCACCTTGGTAACCTACTAAAACTGGTCTCTTCTTTTGTGGGTGGGCCAGTCTGAAGCCCTATATCAGAGCATTCTGTCTCCAGCTACTCAAGATGTAGTACTTTATCTTCTTTTTCATTCCAATTAAAGCTTTAGCCTGTAAATTCATACATCACTTTAGTTTTAATTTCTGTTATTACTAAAGCAAGAACCAGGTGTGGTGGTACATGCCTATAATACCAGTACTTGGGAAGCTAAGGCAAGAGATTGCTGTGAGTTCAAGGCCAGTCTGGGCTACACAGTGAATTCAAGACTGGCCTAAACTCTAGCAGTGATAGTTTGAAGTCTTTCAAAATTCCTGGGGTCAAAACTGGTAAGATGCCATTTGTTTTTACTAGGATTCTTTCATGGGTAGAGCAGTGTTTTCCAGAGGCTCTGTGAGTTCTGCTTCGGGGAGCACCAAGAATTACTGAGTCAGATGGAGGCATCCCAAAACCACTGGGCCTGGGACCACACAAAAAATTTACCTGGTGTTTAACCAGGAAAGCAAGAACCAGTTCCCAAAGTGAAAAAACATCAAGGTAGTGTCCCTCACAAGGTCAAAGGGGACAGAAAATGTTTCAGAAAATGAACAAATGAACTCTCTTCCTCTTAAACACACAAAGGATGATAACCACATGGGAGGAGTGATAGCAAAAACAAATATGAGTTCTGGAGTTGCTTCAAGTGCTTTCGATATATTTCATGAAATTTAGGATTACGTCTTTACATAAATTACAGAGTTAATTTCCATTCAATGCTGCAGAACATACTGAGTCTCCATAGCTTTGTGTTTGGAGGATCTTTTCAGAGGTGGCAGTGTTTGAAAAGTCAGAACAGAAGACCCAGAAGGCGGGGCTAGGATTTGGAGCCAGGACTCTTGGCTTGGAACATGGTTGGAGGCATCAGCAGCTCTTCCTACCTGGCCAAGCTTCTGTCTACACTGTTCACAAGCTGACCCTTATTGACCCCTTGGTGGACATTTTCTTTTTCTTTTTTTTTCGGTACTGGGAATTGAACTCAGGTTCCTGCACTTGCCAGGCAGGCACGGTGCCACTGAGCTACATCCCCAGCCCTTTGGTGGGCATTTTCCAGTATGTAACCAATTGGGCTTCACACTGGGGACCTTGTGTTCTCTCGTCACCCTATCTCACAACTGTGTGGCTCCTTCTGGGCACTGACAATGGGATGGTGGCTGGCAGTTGTGGCTGGTGATTCTTCTGCCATCTTTCTTCCTTTGTATGCTCCACTGGTTGTTTTTCTGACTCTTCTTTTGGGATCTTTCCCGGCTTCGGCCTCCATCCTCACTCTCTCAAGAGCTTGGCCTGGACCATTGCAGCCTTTTTTGGGGTTTTACCCACCTGACCTGCTGTGACAAGCAGACTGTGCCCTTGCATGTTGTTGTTTTTTGGTACCAGGGATTGAACTTGGGCCCTTGTGCTTCTGAGACAGGTGGCGGAACCACTGAGCCAAATCCCTGGCCCCCTTGTATGGAACAGCAGCTTTCAGGCCCAGAGTTACTCCATTTTATGAAGCACTAGCTGATGTGAGGTACTCCATTCTGAGCACAAACATCAGGGTACGCCTTGCTTGGTAAATCAGCATCTCTTGGTCACACCTACAAGGCACTAACTGGTAACTTATTCATGTCAATAAAAAATTAACTTACTGAATCCGGAAGCACATGGACATGGGAATACCAAAATCACAGCAAAAATAGCAGATACATGAACTTATCAATTACACCAGATGCATACCCCAGATATAAACCCCTTACCTGGGACTTTTTTCTTGGTACTGTGATTTTTTTTTGGAGACAGGGTCTTCCTATAGCTCAGGCTGGCCTTATAACTCACTGCATAGCCCTGGCTGGTCTCAGATTCGAAGCAATCCTCTGGCCTCAGCCTCCTGAATGCTGGGATTACAGGCATGTGCTACCACATCTGTCTTGGTACTGTGATTAAACCCACATTGAGCTACATCTCCAGCACCCCCCACCCCCGGTACCGGGGATTGAACTCTGGTCCTTGCGCTTTTGAGGCAGGCAATGGCACCACTGAGCTAAATCCCTGGCCCCTTCTTCCCCTTTTAAGACCGGGTCTGCTAAATTAGCTAGGTGGGACTTGAACTTGAGATCCTCCTGTTTTCAGCCTCTGAAAGTGATTGGATCATAGGTGCCTATTACCAGACTTATAAAAGGAGGAATACCCTGCAGCTGGTACAGCAGCACCACTGGCCACCTGTTCACCACAGGCTTTGTTTGCACAGGTAATTGCCAGGTGAGTAATCTCCATCTATCCTTGGGCTTCAGTTCAGCACGGTTTCTCCTGCTTGTGATGCACACAGCGCCACTTCAAGTCAACACTTTTGAAACTGCCTGCAATCCAGACTTGGCCTCCACCTCTATAGTTGTTACTGGGTTCTGGCCTCTAAACCAGATCTGTCCTCCTGCAGAGTCATCTGCACTCTGTATCAGCTGGCTGCCTTTGCTGTCTCTGTAGGTCTCTTTAAATCCTGTGCAGCTTTCAACTCTTTAACTAACCATGTGTAACATACAGTCTTGCATATATCGTGTGACCTGAGTGTTATAGATATTAATAATTAAGATAGGAAGTGGGGTGTGGTGGCACATGCTTAGAGTCCTAGCACTTAGGAAGCTGAGGCAGGATGATGTTGTTTGAGGCTAGCTAGGGTTTCATAGAGAGTTCCAGGGCAACCTAAATTACAGAGGGAGACCCTGTGATTTTACTTTTTGTTTGTTTTGAAACTGGAAAAAAAATGTGATTGCCCTAATCATAACTATCAAGTGAAGTCTAGAATATTCAGTTAGTTAACCCTGGTGAGAGAGGCAGCTGGTGAATTTATTGTTATTCAATGTATTCAGAAAGAGGCTGCCTG